CCCATAGATCGAATGAAGTCAGTCCTCAGACAGACGAGCCCATGATACGAGTATCATTGCACCAACATTGTTAATTCCATGTTCCAAGTGAAACCCGCGTTGTTTGGCATCACAGAGAAAGTTATATTACAATGTGAAACCCGCGTTGTTTGGCCTCACAGAGAAAGTTATATCACAATGTGAAACCCGCGTTGTTTGGCCTCACAGAGAAAGTTATATTACAATGTGAAACCCGCGTTGTTTGGCCTCACACAGAAAGTTATATTACATTGTGAAACCCGCGTTGTTTGGCCTCACAGAGAAAGTCATGTTACAATGTGAAACCCGCATTGTTTGGCCTCACAGGGAAAGTTATATTACAATGTGAAACCCGCGTTGTTTGGCCTCACAGAGAAAGTTTTATTACAATGTGAAACCCGCGTTGTTTGGTCTCACAGAAAAAGTCATGTTACAATGTGAAACCCGCGTTGTTTGGTCTCACAGAGAAAGTTATATAACAATGTGAAACCCGCGTTGTAAGGACGTCCACTGGCACACTCATGTTACATTTATTTATATTTTGACGCCACACTCAGCAGTAGTCCAGCGGTCTAAATAATCGAGTCTGAACCAGACAATCCAGTGATTGACATTATGAGCAATCGATCCACGCAACTGGGATACGATGACATGCATCAACTAAGTCAACGAGTCTGACCACCCGATCACGTTGGTCGCCTCTTACAACAAGCATAGTCGCCTTTTACGGCAAGCAAGGGTTGATGAAGACCTATTCTACATCGGATCTTCATGGGTCTCTCAGGTTGTGTGGTATTTTGACATTCTGAATCTTTGTTTCCTGAATGGCATCACTGGGTGTCGTGTCAAGCCACAGCTGCCGGCTTCCTTTAAGCCTTAGTGGCTTGGTCTACGGATCCGCTGAACTTTGGGAAAACTGGGAAATGAATCAATCAAGTCAGCGAGCCTGACCATCCCACCCCAGCAGCCTCTCACGACAAGCTTCAGAGGTTCCCATGTTACAAGTGATGTTGCCACGATTCCCGTGAAGATCCGGGTAAGAATAGGTATTCAGTCGCAAGAGGCGACTAACGGGATCTGGTGGTCAGGCTCGCTGACTTGTTTGATGCATGTCATCGTATCCCAATTGCGTGGATCGATGCTCATGATGTCAATCACTGCATTGTCTGGTCCAGACTCGATTATTTACAGACAGCCGTCATATAGCTGGAATATTGCGGAGCGCGGCGTTAAACAACAAATAAACAAACAAACACAATCTGAGAAAGAAAAGCCTAAACCGAAAGTCCATAAACACCCCTTTAAACCTGTGCAACACACAAGAAAACCTGTGTGGCGGGACTACTGCTGAATATGTATTGTCTCACTTCCAAATTACCTCACGCCCGTCTGTTTATTCTTGGATGAACGCCCAGAGTTGATGGAGGTGATTGGCCCTTGGCCTTGATGAGACCTATGATGTCAGATAAGTTAACCACAACTGATATATGTATGTAGACGGTGTCGGCTGATTACTGCAGTTTCCCGAGGGCCCTCTCCTGCACGCCGTCTGACGTCTGCCTTCCGCCATAACGACCAGTCTCTCTCATTAGCGGTACCATGCTGTCTATTGTATTCAGGTGAGGAGCGCCCATTGCTGCACGTCTTTGGGCGCCACACAATGCAGACCTATCCGGATTCAAACCACAGACCCTTATGTCAAACTGACGTACCAGAGAGCAGCTCGAATGTCAGACTTACACTGCTGATCACGTTAGTTAGAGACTATTTATACACAGTCACAGCTAACTTTAATGTAACGGACCATACATAATTCGTTTTCTGCACAAAAATGCCTTGACTACAGTGGTGATTATGTTAGACATGCGTTATTTAGTTATACGTCTAGACTACTGGTAGGTTTCCAAATAGCAAGAAAAACTACAATATTGTGAACATAGCAAACGTTTTTTCAACACATGGGTCAAAACGCATATTACAAAAAGTCTCAATTAAGTACATGAATGAATGTTATGAAATGTTATCAATTGAATGCTGTGAAGTGATCACTGCTGATACAAGTCAATGCTGTAGTTACGTGTATTGTGTTTAGTTTTATCCAAGATGGCGGACGTTTCCGAGCGAAAACGTCTATAACGAACAACGGATATAACGAACTGATTTCTCCGGTCCCTTGTAGTTAGTTATATCCATGTTCTACTGTAGATACGAGTTGTCCCTAGTTGAAGTATTTTATACAAAAAGGGAAGGCAGGGCCGTTGATTAACGTGTACATGGAGATGAATGTGAAGAGGAACGGACACACGAGCCTTTGGACCCGATGACCTCTTATAATACTCTTTTCAGAACTGATACTGTTGATGCGCTTGGACATTCCAGCCTTATCACGAAGACAGTCCTCCTTTAAGGATTGTTCCTGGTAACATAGAGTTGTGATAAGACCAGATGGTTGAACTTCAAGGATGATGCCACAGTGATTATCGAGGCTGTTTACTTTTCATTGTCTGTATCCTGGCGTGCGTTGGGCATTGCAAGCAGATATTCCTCGGAAACAGTTTTACTCTAAACAAATGAAGACCCATCGCATTGCCTTAGCTTTAACAGTTCATCGAATCTCCACAATTATCATTGACAGGTTGAAAGCATGATCCGACTTGGGGTTACCCATGCCAAACCTTATTGATATAAAGTTCAAAATCATAAATAATATCATTCAAGATACAAATATGTTGACACACATATAAGCCCCTAGTGATCAAATACCAGTGTACTATAAAGCACTCTATTGACAAGTCTTGGTCTTGGGCTGCCAAAGCCGTCTACATTTGGGCATGCACAATAACAAGGGTGGAATGAAAGAAAATACATCACCAGGAATATCAACAGAAAGTTGGCCTACGACGTTCGTTATCTACAAAGCAATTCTGTCATTCCATGGATGTCCTTGGTATGAACCTAGCGCACAATATGCTCGTCTTTTGTCCATGTGGTTTTGGAAATGATTTTCCCATGTCTACTCAAGCCACATTGATTGAGCGTTATGGACAATCAATTATACTAACACATACTCTATGGTAAATTCGGTTGGGAAAATATTGTCACTGCTCTTTGAAGTCTGGAATAACATTCAGACTAGCCTCGAGATTTACAGTTTCATGATATTCATGGAAGCCAGCTTTTATAACTTTATATTATGTACAGTCTTATTCAGCCATGCAAGCCTTTTAGTACAAATAGCCACATATACACCGAGATACTTCAGAAATGAAATAATGCTCTTGACACTTAAGACCAAGTAGAGTGCTGTTTATATCCTACATAGTGTGTCGTAAGTTAGCTAACACCATTCACTTCATGTCATAGCGCTGGTTGCAGTCTTGTAACTTAATAACACTTTTCACCAGGCACAGATAAAATGTCGTTTATACCTTGTAGCAAGTGTCATCGGTTCCATTGGTGGTTATTTGCAACAGTATATATTTATGTCTACCTATCCTCGTGTTTACCTTACTTAATACATCGTTTAACATCACTGAAACCTGGCAGAAGAAACAAGCAATTAACCACTGCCCATGCATATCAAAGCATTTGATACAAACAGAATTATCATTCCTACCTGAACTCTTTGGTATTATAGTGACCGTTTTAAAAAAAAAACAGGGTAATATAATCATAAAATTTAAGACTCAAAAAGACAACGAACAGATTGTTCCTGTCTGATGTTTGTTTCTTGTTTGTTAAAAGCCGCACTCAGCAATATTCCAGCTGTATGACGGCTGTCCGCAAATAATCAAGTCTAAACCAGACAATCCAGTGATTGACATCATGAGCATCGATCCACGCAGTTGGGATACAATGACATGCATCAACCAAGTCAGTGAGCCTGACCATCCCCTTAGTCGCCTCTTACGACAAACATAGTCACCTTTTACACCAAACATGGATTTTTGAAGACCTATTCTACCCCGGATCTTCAGAGTCCGGTGGGTTTGAAGTCACCATACACCTGGACAACTGTGGAATCTTGCTTTACATCCTTTCACTCAGTAGTCCAAATTATTTACATGCTGCCTTGATATAGCTGGAATTGTGCTGGCAGCAGCATTAAACAACACTTACTCTCACACACTCACTCCCAGAAGCATAAGAAACCATTGACCATGCTGCATATTATGCAGGTAACTTTCTTCAAGAACAATCACAGAAAGGTACCTTTTAACTATTTAAAAATAGAAACCTTCATAATGTTTGTTTGTTGGGGATGATCTGTAACAATGGGTACACTGACCAAATCACACCAGCCAAGTCAGGCATATTCTGACATGGAATACCCCAAGGTTCCATCACAGAGATGAAACCAACTTTAAGTGTATATCATGACATAAAATCACCTAAACACTCAAACAGTCAAATTGGACAAAACATCAAGAATCAGTTCAAATTATTTATTTACAAAATGACACAATTTATTATCATAGTTACATGATGATAGCCTTGTTTACAATACATTTGTACATAAAGGTAGACACCTCAAATATACATGCAAATATACAAGAGGTTGTTGTGCTTCAGGCTGCATGTACTACTTGTCAAATTAATTCAAATCCAAACTGATCAAATACATTATCACATTTATTAATTATATATAACAATTTTCTTTTAATGTTTTATTCTGGGAAGCAATCTGTGTTCGAACAGTGTCTTAGTCCATAAACAAAGTACTCTAATCAGAAACAGCTACAAACACCAACATCATCTTGGTCCCAGTGTCCATAAGCCAATGACCATGCTAAAGGTTAAGCTGACACACCGTGGTATAACTGGAATAATGTTATAACAATGAATAGGCGGCGTTTAACCCAACTTGCTCACTCACTCACTTGGGTTGCTGAAGACCTACTGTATTCGACATAATAAGTGCCCAGGGTGCTCTCAAAATTAGAAATAGGGGGCTCTTATTAGAATATTATTTTGGTGAAAAAAAGAAAAGATTTGGAAGATAAATTTTGTGGTTTATGCTGACAGCCTGAAATGCTTATGTACGACAGATATATTTTTCCTGAATTTAATTGCCAATAATAAAGGGTGCATATAACACACGAGTGAGTATTGTACGCAAATAGGTGAAGGAATGAAGGAAGCGGTGCGTATTATATGCAAATAGGGGTCAGAAGGGGTGCTAATTGGGATTGTTCACTAGCCAATATATTAGCAAATCTCGACTTGGGTGCTTATTACAGCGGGGCGCTTATTACGTCGAATACAGTATTCTACACCGGATCTTCACGGGTCTCTCGGGTTGTGAGGTATTTTGACATTCTGAATCTCTGTTTCATGAATGGCATCACTGGGTGTCATGTCAAGCCACAGCTGCCCGCTTCCTTTAAGCCTTAGAGGCTTCATATGAACAATATGATCAACATGCTTAATCATAACAGCTCAAATAGAATAGAACATGTATATATTCATTATGTTCCTTCAGGAAATAGCTGTAGTATTTGGAAGTACATTCTTATTTGTTTGTTGGAAACATTAGAAAATTATTAGCATGGTTTATATTTTCCAAACTGAAGATGAGGAATATTCACAAAGAAATATCACAGCAAAATGTTTTACATAGTATGTCATGTCGAGTAGTGGGAAAATATGCATGCAAAATGTGATCCAGTGTGGATTGGGAAAGTTATAGAGACTTTTTCATACAGCTGATGATATTGTGCATTGAAACCTACAATACTGACTTACATTACATCAGGTTGATCAGAGACTTTCACAGCCAGTATATACAGTAAACTATGGTTATAGTGAACTAAAAGGGATGACTAACTTTAGTTCGTTATAACTGTAGTTTGTTACAAGCACTTACACAGCCTATACACAGCAAATAAACAGGACCAAAAAGTAGTGTTAAATCCGTCAGTTCTTTATAACTTTCTTTATAACGGTTCGTTTTAAACGTAGTTTACTGTAGTCAATATGCTCAGACTGGAAAGGTAATATAAAGTAACATTACCTTAGGCCACACTTTATTAATTTTATGTTTCAGGGATATATTCCAGCTCTTCCACACAAGGTTGGTCGAAATAAAAAATAAAATAACAGCTATGTCAATCATTTATTTATTCATATGAAAGTCATTCTGCAGTAGAGTTATAACTGCAGCTGGCTTCTTGAATCACTGATAGTGTTGTAGACATGGAATTGATATATATTTTTTTTATTGTATCAGAGGGTCTATATTACCAGCAGGAGAAATAATATGAAAAAAACTTTTTGTTTAATTTATTTTCTCTTAGAGGCTTGGCGGGCCCGTGAAATGAAAATATAAACTGTGTGGCGTAATTAACATCATCAATATGAGTAAGCTGTTAGGCTCAATAGGTCATTCATCTTTACCTTCTGTAAAGCAGAAGGATTTTATTTATTTAATAAATACACAAAATTATTTTCTGTTCCTCATAATGATCAATCATGATGATGTAAATGGACATTAGTTGAAAACATATACAATTTTGTTTTGTACAAAACTTACATGAGCTTAAAATATACATGAAATACTAAATATATACTCATTTACTCATACAAATCTTTATAACATTATAAATATATATTAAGGAGCAGTTCCCTTGCTTTTTGTGTTGAAAGGAATTCATGTTTAAAGTCCAGACAACTTAATATCTTGTTTTATGAATTCTCTTAGTCAATTTGAAAGTTGCAGGTGGCAATATGATAAAAAAAGGAATGTTCTCTGGTTGAGATGAGGTTAATTTCATAAAAACAAAATGTTTTGCAGAATTAACATCAGGCTAACGCGTAAAAGAAGACAAAATTTGGTGTGGACTACTTACACGTTGACAATTGAGAAAACCAGTATCTTGTATAACCCAGAGTGTCAGTTTACACACGCAAGCAGATTCTTAAAGGTACAACTTCCATAAAATACAGCCAATCCACACTTCTATCCAACAGTATTCTCACGATATTGGTTTTCTCACCAGATCACCTTAACAAACTTACAAAAATACATCAGTAATAAACATATGTCCATGAGCCAAACCATCACCTAGTTATATGCCTATAACATGCTCAGTTCCGATGACGCTGCCTGTGGTCTGTATCCGGACCGCTGGGTCTGAAGCAGACCACCTGAGACCTGTGTGAATAACAGGTGTAAAGGTCTAATCATCACCATGACGATCTCCCAGCTTGTTGATTGCTCCAGATACACGTTCTTGTGTGAGCACACCCAGCCTCCAGCATGTGTAGCGATGTAGCTGAGAGGCCAGGCAGCCCCATCGAGGGCCAGACTTCAGCAGACAGTGCACAGACATCCAGACAGGGCACAGACACAAACAGGCAAGCTCCTGAAACCAAACATATTGTTCTGAACACATGATCATGTCGAGTTTTAAATGGAACTGCACCTAACGTTGTCTCAATGTCCAACAAAAATATTGTGCTGAGGAATGTAGAATACATTTTGGTAAAGAAAATGTAGTGTTTTGAGTTTGGTTAAAAAGCAAGAACTTGGCAACACATTTTGTTTCTGCTTCAAATTCTCCTTGTCTAAACTTGTGGCAGTATAAATGTTGAATGTTGCCATATTCCTGTTAGGTAGCCCAGCAGATGATGTGTTAGCTTTCAACACAAAACAACCATCCCAACCCTGTGTGAGCCAAATACATGCTGAACCTATAAACAGAATATACCAGCCACAGCAGTGAACATATCAGGGGATGCAAGCCACAGCAGTGAACATATCAGGGGATGCAAGTCACAGCAGTGAACATATCAGGGGATGCAAGCCACAGCAGTGAACATATCAGGGGATGCAAGCCACAGTGGTGAACATATCAGGGGATGTAAGCCACAGCGGTGAACATATCAGGGGATGCAGGTCACAGCAGTGAACGTAGATGCAAGCCACAGCAGTGAACCTATCAGGGGATGCAAGCCACAGCAGTGAACCTATCAGGGGATGCAAGCCACAGCAGTGAACATATCAGGGGATGCAAGCCACAGTGGTGAACATATCAGGGGATGCAAGCCACAGCAGTGAACATATCAGGGGATGCAAGGCACAGCGGTGAACATATCAGGGGATGCAAGCCAGAGCAGTGAACATATCAGGGGATGCAAGCCACAGTGGTGAACATATCAGGGGATGCAAGCCACAGCAGTGAACCTATCAGGGGATGCAAGCCACTGCAGTAAACATAGATGCAAGCCACAGCAGTGAACCTATCAGGGGATGCAAGCCACAGCAGTGAACATAGATGCAAGCCACAGCAGTGAACCTATCAGGGGATGCAAGTCACAGCAGTGAACATAGATGCAAGCTACAGCAGTGAACATATCAGGGGATGCAAGCAACAGCAGTGAACATATCAGGGGATGCAAGCCACAGCGGTGAACATATCAGGGGATGCAAGCCACAGCAGTGAACATATCAGGGGATGCAAGCCACTGCAGTAAACATAGATGCAAGCCACAGCAGTGAACCTATCAGGGGATGCAAGCCACTGCAGTAAACATAGATGCAAGCCACAGCAGTGAACCTATCAGGGGATGCAAGCCACAGCAGTGAACATAGATGCAAGCCACAGCAGTGAACCTATCAGGGGATGCAAGTCACAGCAGTGAACATAGATGCAAGCTACAGCAGTGAACATATCGGGGATGCAAGCCACAGCAGTGAACATATCAGGGGATGCAAGCCACAGCAGTGAACATATCGGGGATTCAACCCACAATATTGAACATATCAGGGGATGCAAGCCACAGCTATGAACATATCAGGGGATGCAAGCCACAGCAGTGAACATATCAGGGGATGCAAGTCACAGCAGTGAACATATCGGGTAAGCAAGCAACAGCAGTGAACATATCAGGAAATGCAAGCCACAACTGTGAACATATCAGGGGATGCAAGTCACAGCAGTGAACATATCAGGGGATACAAGCCACAGCAGTGAACACATCAGGGGATGCAAGCCACAGCAGTGAACATAGATGCAAGCCACAGCAGTGAACATATCAGGAAATGCAAGCCACAGCAGTGAACATATCAGGGGATGCAAGTCACAGCAGTGAACATATCAGGGGATACAAGCCACAGCTATGAACATATCAGGGGATGCAAGCCACAGCAGTGAACATTGATGCAAGCCACAGCAGTGAACAAATCAGGGGATATAAGCCACAGCAGTGAACACATCAGGGGATGCAAGCCACAGCAGTGAACATAGATGCTAGTCACAGCAGTGAACATATCAGGAGATGCAAGTCACAGCAGTGAACAAATCAGGGGATGTAAGCCACAGCAGTGAACACATCAAGGGATGCAAGCCACAGCAGTGAACATATCAGGAGATGCAAGTCACAGCAGTGAACATATCAGGGGATACAAGCCACAGCTATGAACATATCAGGGGATGCAAGCCACAGCAGTGAACATTGATGCAAGCCACAGCAGTGAACAAATCAGGTGATATAAGCCACAGCAGTGAACACATCAGGGGATGCAAGCCACAGCAGTGAACATAGATGCTAGTCACAGCAGTGAACATATCAGGGGATGCAAGCCACAGCAGTGAACACATCAGGGGATGCAAGCCACAGCAGTGAACATATTGGGGAAGCAAGTCACAGCTGTGAACATAGATGCAAGTCACAGCAGTGAACATATCAGGAGATGCAAGTCACAGCAGTGAACATATCAGGGGATACAAGCCACAGCTATGAACATATCAGGGGATGCAAGCCACAGCAGTGAACATTGATGCAAGCCACAGCAGTGAACAAATCAGGTGATATAAGCCACAGCAGTGAACACATCAGGGGATGCAAGCCACAGCAGTGAACATAGATGCTAGTCACAGCAGTGAACATATCTGGGGATGCAAGCCACAGCAGTGAACACATCAGGGGATGCAAGCCACAGCAGTGAACATATTGGGGAAGCAAGTCACAGCTGTGAACATAGATGCAAGTCACAGCAGTGAACATATCAGGGGATGCAAGTCACAGCAGTGAACATATCAGGGGATGCGAGCCACAGCAGTGAACATATCGGGGATGTAAGACACAGCAGTGAACATAGATGCAAGACACTGCAGTGAACATATAATGGGGATGCAAGCCACAGCCATGAACATATCGGGGGATGCAAGCCACAGCAGTGAACATATCAGGAGATGCAAGTCACAGCAGGGAACATATCAGGGGATGCAAGTCACAGCAGGGAACATATCAGGAGATGCAAGCCACAGCTGTGAACATATCAGGGGATGCAAGCCACAGCAGTGAACATATCGGGGATGTAAGACACAGCAGTGAACATAGATGCAAGTCACAGCAGTGAACATATCAGGAGATGCAAGTCACAGCAGTGAACATATCAGGGGATCCAAGCCAAAGTAGTGAACATATCGGGGAAGCAAGTCACAGCAGTGAACATAGATGCAAGTCACAGCAGTGAACATATCAGGGGATGCAAGCCACTGCAGTGAACATATCAGGGGAAGCAAGTCACAGCAGTAAACATAGATGCAAGTCACAGCAGTGAACATATCAGGAGATGCAAGCCACAGCTGTGAGCCTTTGTACAAGAGGACATATTGCTTCCCAGTTATCAATCTTTTTTTACTATGAATGAAAGCATCTGTAAAAGAATATAAGCCATTAAATATCACTCTGTGTACTGTGATGTGCACTGATGATACTTCTAGGGCCTTCTGGTACACTCGGCTGTGTCTAGATTCATGGCTGAAGGCGGGAGAGTTACTCAATAAATGTAAAGGTGTTCCCACTGCACAGAGGCCTCAGTGCCAGTGAGTTTGGCAGTTTGATGGAATCTGTTTGGTTTGTTTAATTTTGAAGACCTGTAGCTGCAAGTGCTCGATGAAGTGCATGAAGAAAGGAACACTTGAATCAAGTATGATATGATGCAAAGAGTTCCCAGAAGCTATAAGCAGCTACAGTTGTGTCATTCCAGGTGTAGGATTTCTCATAAAGTGAAGAGCTTCGTTAACACGTACAGAAAGGTAGGGGGTTAAAGCAGGTGGGTTGGGGAACTGGATTTACTGACTTGGACTGAATGTCCTTGGTAAAATCAGGTCACTTGGATCTTGTGGGTTGGAAGAGTGGGGATAAGGGCAGGTGGGTTGAGGAACTGGATTACAGATTTGGACTGAATGTACTGGGTTAAATCAGGGGTGGGTTTTGTGGGGTGTATGTGGGATGGAAGAGTGGGGATAAGGGCAGGTGGGTTAAGGAACTGGACTACAGATTTGGACTGAATGTACTGGGTTAAATCAGGGGTGGGTTTTGTGGGGTGTATGTGGGGTGGAAGAGTGGGGATAAGGGCAGGTGGGTTGAGGAACTGAACTACAGATTTGGACTGAATGTACTGGGTTAAATCAGGGGTGGGTTTTGTGGGGTGTATGTGGGGTGGAAGAGTGGGGATAAGGGCAGGTGGGTTGAGGAACTGGACTACAGATTTGGACTGAATGTACTGGGTTAAATCAGGGGTGGGTTTTGTGGGGTGTATGTGGGGTGGAAGAGTTGGGATAAGGGCAGGTGGGTTGAGGAACTGGACTACAGATTTGGACTAAATGTACTGGGTTAAATCAGGGGTGGGTTTTGTGGGGTGTATGTGTGGTGGAAGAGTGGGGATAAGGGCAGGTGGGTTGAGGAACTGAACCACAGATTTGGACTGAATGTACTGGGTTAAATCAGGGGTGGGTTTTGTGGGGTGTATGTGTTGTGGAAGAGTGGGGATAAGGGCAGGTGGGTTGAGGAACTGAACCACAGATTTGGACTGAATGTACTGGGTTAAATCAGGGGTGGGTTTTGTGGGGTGTATGTGGGGAGGAAGAGTGGGGATAAGGGCAGGCAGTTGAGGAACTGGACTACAGATTTGGACTGAATGTACTGGGTTAAATCAGGGGTGGGTTTTGTGGGGTGTATGTGGGGAGGAAGAGTGGGGATAAGGGAGGTGGTTCGAGAAACTTGATTACAGATTTTGACTGTACTGGTTTAAATCAAGTCATGTGGATTTTATGGGATGTATGTGGGATGGAAGAGTGTGATTAAGGGCAGGTAGTTTGAGGAACTTGATTCACAGATTTGGATTGAATGTCCTGGGTTAAATTGGGCCATGTGAATTGTGTGGGGTGGAACTGGATTTGAAGGCAGGTGGGTTGGGGAACTGAATTTACAGATTTGTACTACATCAGGTGATAAAGACATGACGAAATTGAGGTTGAAGGCAAGTGGTTTGTAGAACTGTGCTTACAGATATTGTCTCCAACATCAAACTGACAAGCCATGACATAACTGGACTAAACTCACTCACTCACAA